GTGGCCCAGTTGTCGCCCTTCGTGGCCCCCTCGCTGCCCTTCGTGGCTCCGTTGCTGCCCTCAGTGGCCCCGTCCTTGCCCTGTGCGGCCCAACATACGCATGCCCTTTGTGGCCCCCGCTCGTTCGCGCCCATCGTGGCCCCATATGCCATGCCTTTCGTGGCCCCGTTGTCGCCCTTTGAGGCTCCTTCGCTGCCCTACGTGGCCCCGTTGCTACCCTCAGTGGCCCCGCTGTTGCCCTCTGTGGCTCGTATTATCTGCCCTTCGTGGCCCCCGCTCGTTCGCGCCCTACGTGGCCCCATGCGCATGCCCTTCGTGGCCCCGCTGTCACCCTTCGTGGCCCCTTTGCTGCCCTTCGTGGCCCCATCACTGCCTTTCGTGGCCCCGCTGTCGCTTTTGCTCTCGCTCTCGCTCTCGCTTTCGCTCGTCGTCGTCGTCGTCGTCGTCGTCGTCGTCGTCGTCGTCGTGGTCGGTACCCTGTCCGCCCCTCTTGGGGTCGGGCTGCCGCCGGTCAGCGCTGCCGCTGGCCAGGCCGACGGTCCGCGGCCGCCCCGGCGCTGGCTGGGGCCCGGTCTGCAGGGATGAAAAATATACCCCCAAAGGGGGTACGATCGAAAACGGTGAGGGCGGGTATCGAGGGTTTGATCCCCCTCCCGTGACCATTGTGTTTTTTCCCGACCCTCCTTTGGTTGGGTACTCGTTTTGAAGTACTCGTTTTGAATCGAGCACTGTGGTCTCCTTCCTCCCGCCTCCCTCCTGCCTCTTCTTGTCTTCCGCCTCTTGTTCCCGACCTCCCTTGCTTGGGTTCTCGTCTTGACTAGCGCACCGTGGTCTCCGTCCTTCCTCGTCCTCCCCCCTCCTCCTTCCTCCTTTCTCCTCCTCGTTTTCGGGGCTGCGATCTGCGAAGCTGTCGTCATTTTCGTGGGCTCTTGGGAAGTCCAGCGGAGGGGCGTCCCACGAGGACCACAAGGAGACCTCGCCGTCCCTGGGGGGCAGCGATCTGCGAAACTGTCGACATTTTTGTGGGCTCCTGGGAGGTCCAGCGCAGGGGTGTCCCACGGGGATTACTCTGAGACCTCGCCGCCCCCCCTGGGGGCTGCGACCTACGAGACTGGCGCTTTCGTGGACTCCTGGGAGGTCCGGCGGAGGGGTGTCCCACGGGGATCACCATGAGACCTCGCCGTCCCTGGGGGGCAGCGATCTGCGAAACTGTCGACATTTTTGTGGGCTCCTGGGAGGTCCAGTGGAGGGGTGTCCCACGGGGATTACTCTGAGACCTCGCCGCCCCCCCTGGGGGCTGCGACCTACGAAACTGGCGCTTTCGTGGGCTCCTGGGAGGTCCGGCGGAGGGGCGTCCCACGGGGATCACCATGAGACCTCGCCGTCCGTGGGGGTCTGCGATCTGTGACGCTGTCGCCACTTTCGTGGGCTCCTGGTAGGTCCAGCGGAGGGGTGTCCCACGGGGATCACCATGAGACCTCGCCGTCCGCCTGTGGCAGCGATCTGCGAAACAGTTGCCACTTTCGTTGGCTCCTGAGAGGCCCAGCGGAGGGGTGTCCTACGGGGATCACCATGAGACCTCGCCGTCCGTGGGGGGCTGCGATCTGCGACACTGTCGCCACTTTCGTTGGCTCTTGGGAGGTCCAGCGGAAAGGGTGTCCCACGGGGATCACCATGAGAACTCGCCGTCCGTGGGGGGCTGCGATCTGCGACACTGTCGTCACTCTCGTTGGCTCTTGGGAGGTCCATCGGAGGGGTGTCCCACGGGGACCACCATGAAATCTCGCCGTCCCTGGGGGGCTGCGATCTGCGACACTATGGCCACTTTCGTTGGCTCCTGGGAGGTCCAGCGGGGGGGTGTCTCACGGGGATCACCATGAGACCTCGCCGTCCGTGGGTGCTGCGATCTGTGATGCTGTCGCCACTTTCGTTGGCTCCTGGGAGGTCCGGCGGAGGGGTGTCCCACGGGGATCACCATGAGACCTCGCCGTCCGTGGGGGGCTGCGATCTGTGACGCTGTCGCCACTTTCGTGGGCTCCTGAGAGGTCCAGCGGAGGGGTATCCCACGGGGACCACCATGAGACCTCGATTTGCTGTTTGATCGCAGATCGCAGCGGGATGGGGCGTCACGGAGCGCATGGCGCTGTCATGTGCCCAGGCCGCATCGACTCTTCAGTTGCGCATTGTCCGTAGTGCACTCGGGCACTTGCAGCACCTAGCGCAGGGCGCTGTTCTGTCATAGCGCGCATGTCGGTATTCTGCAACGAGAACCTAGCGCGATGCGCTGTTACTCCCACGAAGCATGTCTCTGGTCCCCCCTTCATCCGTATGTTTCCACGCCCCTCATGGTCGCCTTCCTGCCAATGATCTGACTCGTAAGAGCGATGCCGCGGATGTGAAACATTTGACTCTGGCCCAACGTTCTTTGGCGAAGCGTTCAAGAGCACGGCGGATCCTTCAGTGTTTGTTTTTGTATTGAGCGGTCCGATGTTTTGCCGCCCCATGTGTGCAACGAGTTGGGTACGTCCCCGGGTAGTTCAATTGAAGTGCTTCCCCCGGTGCTGTCACCCTGTTTTTCCCAACCCTCATTTGATTGGGTTCTCGTTTTGAACAGAGCACCGTGGTCTCCGTCACTCCTCCTCCCCCTTCTCCTCCTCCCTCCTTTCTCCTCCTTGTTTTCTTTCTCCTCCTCCTCCTCCTCCTCCCCCTCCTCCTCCTCCTCCTCCTCCTCCTCCTCCTCCTCCTCCTCCTCCTCCTCCTCCTCCTCCTCCCTGCCTCGTGTATTATTCCCATCTGTCAAACTGTCGCCACTTTCGTGGGCTCCTGGGATGTCCTGCGGAAGGCTGTCCCGCGGGGGCAACCATGAGACTTCGCCGTCCCTGGGGGGTAGCGATCTGCGAAACCGTCGCCAGTTTCGTGGGCTCCTGAGAGGTCCAACGGAGGGGTGTCCCACTGGGACCATGCGACCTCGCCGTCCGTGGGGGGCTGCGATCTGCGACATTGTTGCCGCTTTCGTGGGTTCTTGGGAGGTCCAGCGGAGGGGTGTCCCACGGGGACCACCATGAGACCTCGCCGTCCGTGGGGGGCTGCGATCTGTGACATTGTCGCCATTTTCGTGGGCTCTTGAGAGGTCCAGCGGAGGGGTGTCCCACGGGGATCACCATGGGACCTCGCCGTCCCTAGGGGGCTGCGATCTGCGACACTGTTGCCACTTTCGTGGGCTCCTGAAGGTCCAGCGGAGGGGTGTCCCATGGGGGCCACCATGAGACCTCGCCGTCCCCGGGGGGCTGCGATTTGCGAAACTATCGCTGCTTTCGTGGGCTCCCGGGAGGTCCAGCGGAGGGGTTTCCCACGGGAGCCACCATGAGACCTCGCCGTCCCAGGGGGCTGCGATCTGTCACGCTGTCGCCACTTTCGTGGGTTCCTGGGAGGTCCAGCGGAGGGGTGTCCCACGGGACCACCATGAAATCTCGCCGTCCCTGGGGGGCAGCGATCTGCGAAACAGTCGCCGCTTTCGTTGGCTTTTGGGAGGTCCAACGGAAGGGTGTTCCACGGGGACCACCATGAAATCTCGCCGTCCCTGGGGGGCTGCGATCTGCGACACTGTCGCCGCTTCCGTTGGCTACCTGGAGGTCAAGGGGTGTCCCACGGAGACCACCATGAGACCTCGCCGTCCATGGGGGGTTGCGATCTGCGGAGCTGTCGCCACTGTCGTGGGCTCCTGGGAGGTCCAGCGGAGGCGTGTCCCACGGGGACCACCATCATCCCAATTATCCTCCACCTTTTGGAAGCAGGGCTCCAGTGTCCCACGGAAGCAGATCTCCAATTCACCGTCATCAGTATGTTTCTACGACCCCTTGTGGTCGCCCTCCTGCCAACGATCTGACTCTTAAGAGTAATGCCGCGACTGTGAAACATTTGGCTCTGGCCCAACGTTCGTTGTCGAAGCATTCAAGAGCACGGTGGGTCCTTCAGTGCTTGCTTTTTGCATTGGGCGGTCCGATGTATAGTCGCCCCATGGGTACAACAGGTTGGGTACGTCCCAGGGTAGTTTATCAGGGAAAGTCACTCGGCTCGAACTGTGCTCTTGGCCCCCCGGATTGCAAAAACAACTGTTCCCGCTGGGGACTTCCTCACAATTTAGCCCGAACCCCCGTTTCCGCTTGAGAGTTTCTTGTATTTTACGCAGGAGTTGCGCTCTCGCTTGGGACGTCCTTACAATTATGGGGGGCGCACACCCGTAGGGTGCTGCGCGGGCACAAATCGCAGGTCGGCCGACGGGCCCCGCGGCGCCGCGGCGCGTGCGACGCGCGCCGCATGCAGCCCGACCGCAGCGCGCACTGCCCGCAGTCGCGTCTTTGCGCTTCTGTGTTGTTTCGCGCGGGCCTGCCGCGGTCGCTCGCGCAGGCGCGCCGCGGGGATCGCGCACTGGGCGGATCGCGGCGCGCCTTGGCGATGCTCGCTTCGCAGGTTGTCGATTATATTGATTTGGGCACCGCGCTCGTGCGGCGCTAGCGCGACCATAGCGCTTGGGTACAGGCGACCCGCCCGAGGGCGTCCTGTTGTTGGGCTACCCGACCTAGGGAGTCCCAACGGTGCTACAGTCGCACCTGCACTCGGGCGACCCGGTCGAGGGCGACCCGACAGCGCGACCATAGCGCTTATGTTCAGGCGACCTGCACGAGGGCGTCCTGTTGCTGGACTACCCGAACGAGGGAAACCCAACGGTGCCACCACCGCACCCGCGCAACGGTCCGTAGCGCCGGCTTTGCCGTCGCAAGTGCGCCCGCCCTAGCGCAGGCGACACATGTTCGCCGCCCCGAAGTCGGGCAAGTGAGGTGTCACGTGTTCGTGCGTTGTCCCGTGGCGCGCGCGCTCTCGTTGGTCCTGCGTGCTCGCCCGGCTGGACGATTTCGGTCCGTAGCTGTTTCGCTCGAGCGAGAGTGAATTGCTTACCTTCCCGTCGTGCGCCCTCGTGGTTGGCTCCACTACCGCCTGCCATGTCCGCGCCGCTCCTCAATCTTCTCGAGTCTGGGGTGGGCAGGCACACGAAGCGCGACCGCGCGTGGCTGAAGCCAGTGGTCGAGGTGCTGGCGTCCAACGGCATCGAGAGTCCGGAGGACCTGGTCAAACTCAACGTCAGGGCCGCGACCTTCCAGCTCAACGGGCTGGTCGAGGGCAAGGTCGCTTTCATCGAGCGCGCCGTCGCAAAGGCAACCCAGTCCGCCGAGCAGCAGGCAGCTGCCGAGGCCGCGGCGCCAAGCGGTTCGCAGGAGCCGGTGAGCGCCCTCCTGCAGGCGCTCCAGGGCGGCCGCAGGCCAGCGGTCCACGTGGACATCGCCGCAGGCCTGGGCGGCATGACCTTGGCGGGCTTGCCAGCGTCGTGCTGGCCTTCTCCGCAACTGACCGACTGGGTGCAGGGCCGGGTCAAGGCCGCGGAGAGCAAGGGCATCGCGAAGCCCTTCCTCTACATGCCGATCAAGAAATTCCCCCCGTACTACGCGGCGGACAAGAGGCAGCCCGACGATCCCGAGGGGGAGTGCGGCGTCGAGCGGTCTTTCGCGCAGGAGATCGCTCGCGGCATCTGCAAGGCGAGGGGCCCCGACAAGAAGCAGGGGGACCTGCCGAGCATCCTGCAGTGGTGCGTCGCGTTTGACAGATGGGCAATCGTCGCGGCGCTCGCCGGTCAGATGCCGCTCACGGCGTCCATGGCCCACAAGGAGGTCGTGATGCAGCTCGCTCTGTCGGCGCGGGCCAGTGGGCGCGCGACCGCGATCGCCGTCCTCTACGACGAGATCGCCCGGCGCGAATGGGCAGACCTCTCAGCGGGCCTGGGCGCCTTCGACGTCGCCGCGGCCGCGCAGTCGCAGAACGCGGCCACCGTGCTCGGGGCGGAGCGCGAGTGCGACGCCCGCGGTATCCAAGTGGTGCACGACCGAGCTCCAGCGCAGCCGAAGGGCAAGGCAAAGGGCGCCAGCAGGGGCCACAAAGGCGGCAGCGACCACAGCGCCAAGGGCGGCAAGGCCATGGGCTACGGCAAAGAGCGCAAGGGCAAGCCCGCGAACGACTCTCACCGCTGGCAGGGGCATTACTCGTCCGGGATTGCCGCCAGCGGGGCGCAGGTGCGGGTGACGCCAAGTAAGCGCCAGAAGAGAGAGTGAGGGGCCGCAGCCGCCCCGCCCGACGCGGGGGCAGCACTCCCCGCGCACCCTGCGCAGTCAGCCGCGGAGCCAGTGAGGGTCCAGTCAGGCGCAGTTCTCCCCGACGCATCCTGCGCTGATCTGAGTTGCTTCCAGTCGGCATTCGACGCTGCCAGCGCGCAAGCTCTGCGCGGCGAATTAGCGCCCGATGAGGTCGAGGCGCTGCGTTTCACGCGTGGGGCGCTCGGCCGCCGCGACGCGCAGCCGAAGCGCACGGACGTGCAGTGCGAGTGCATGGAAGCGTTGCGGTGGAGCGCCGCGCGTAGCCTACGCCAGTGCATCAAAGAACGCGAGGAGCGCGTTCGGCGCATCGAAGCCCGGGCGGCGCACTTCGAGGCGTCCGGGGAGGCCGAGGCCGCGAGAAAGGCTGCGCCACCGGAATTCAGGCCGCTTATCGCAGGCGTCAACATTCCACTTTTAAAGGAATTGGCGCGTGAGTCTGAGTGGCACGACGCAGAGTGCATCGACTTTTTCTCGCGAGGCGCCCCTCTGTTGGGTAACCTAGAATACAGCGGCAACGGTCGCGCGCTCAGCCCGGAAGAGCGCGCGGGCGACACAGGCGCTGAGGTAGCCCGTTTGCGTGCCAGCGCGCTCGCGTGCAACGACTTGACACTTGCATCTATTCGCGAGGATCCCCTCGCCAGCGAGCTGCTCCGTAAGACGCGGGAGAAGGCGGACTTGGGTAGGATGTCTCCGCCGCGGGCTTTTAGGCCCGACATCTCCGCGGCCGAGCTCGCCGCTGCTTGGGGCGAAACAATTGGTCTGGTGCCCAGGTTTGGGGTCTCACAACCGAAGCCCGACGGGTCGCTGAAAGTGCGCCCGGTGGATGACTTCACGCGCTCCAGGGTGAGCGGCGCGTGCGCTCCCGCCGAGAAATTAAGCGTAGAGGGCGCGGACCAGCTGGTAGCGGTCGCGCGCGCCTTCTTCGAGTTGCACGGCGCGCTTCCCGAGCTGTGGAAAGCGGACATAGATTCCGCTTGCCGCCGCATCCCGTTGGCCCCCGCCGATAGGTGGGCCGCTGTCAGTGTTTTCAAGGAGGGCGGCCGCCTGTGGTGCTCGCAGCACCTGGTCTGCCCGTTCGGCGCGCTAGCATCTTGCCACGACTGGGACCGCGTGGCCGCCATGCTCTCGCACTTCGCAAGGCGGCTCGCCAAGCTGCCAGTTTCGCGATACGTAGACGATTATTTTGCGCCGGATCGCCCCGGCGCGGCCGACCACGCCATGCGGTGCTTCGCTCGCATCGTCAGAGCCGCGCTCGGCAGCGACGCAGTAGCCGACGCGAAGCTGGCGCGCGGGGCCCAGTTGGTCGTGTTGGGGCTGCTCATCTCTTTCTGTGCGCAGGGCGTACGCTGCGAGCCAGCGTGCGACAAGCGGCTCAAGTGGTCGTTCGCCATCCGGCATGCTTTAGAGTGCGGCACGTTGCACCAGGGCGCTGCGAAGAAACTCGCGGGCGCTCTCGCACGGGCCGCGCAGCACTTGTTTAAGCGCTTGGGCAGAGCAATGCTCCGCCCACTCTTCGCGCACCAGCACAAGCGCTCCAATCGTATCGGGCGGCCTCTCGAGCTCGCGCTGCACTTGTGGGCCCAAGTGCTCGAGCTCAGGCTGCGCGAAGTGGCCAGCTGGAAGCAAGGGGACATGCCCGCGGCACACATGTTCTGCGATGCGCGGAGCACGCCCCCTCGCGCCGCCGCCGTGCTTTTTATAGACGGCGAAATCCTGTTTGCCGAGTGCGCACCCGACGCAGCTCTGATGCGGAATTTCAAGCGCAGACGCGACGGCCAGATTATGGACCTCGAGGTCTTGGCGGTCGCATTAGGCTTGTCATCTTTTGAAGAGCGACTGGCAGGTCGGGCGCTGGAAGTGTCCTCGGGCAATTCGGGGGCCGAGAGGTCAGTGGCGCGCGCGAGCGCCCGGGACTGGGATCACGCAGCCCTCGTCCACGGCATTTGGTCTCTCGCGGCGCGCATGTCCCTGTCGATGTGGGTGCGCCGCGTCCCGTCCAAAAGCAACATCTCGAACGGGCCGTCCCGCGAGGTCTACAGTCTCTTGCACTTGCTCGGCGCGCGCCAGTTGCCAGCGGTACTCGATGCGCGGTTTCACGCAGCCGAGGCCTGGGAGGCGCTGTGGCTCTGAGCAAAAAGAGGGAGGGCTCTCATCGTCTGTCGCTTCCCTGCATCATCGGTTGCATCCGCGTGCAGGTTGGACGCCGCGCTGGGAGCGCCGGGCGTCTTCCGCTCCGCGTCCGCGCGCGCCGCACTGGGAGTGCGGTCCCTTCTTCCCCCCCTCCCCGCTCAGGTCGGCCCCCCGGCACACCCCCACGCGCCCCCGACGCCCCCCCCCCCCCCCCCCTCATCGCGCGCACCAACGCGCTCCCGCTCCCGCTCTCGTCGCGCCCGCCAACGCGCGTCGCTCGGCTCGGCGCGCAGCCCGGCCCCGCTCGCGCGCCCCCCATCGGCCCCCTCGCTGTCGTCGGCCTCCCTCCTCTCGCGCCCGCCCGCACCCCCCCCCCACCCTCCCCCCCCTTCCCCCCGCCGCGCCCCCCCTTTCGCCCCCCCCCTCCCCCCCCCCCCCCCCCCCCCCCCTCCTCCTCCTCCCCGCGCCCCCCCCGGTCGCGCGCCGCCGCTGCAGCCTGCGCCGGTCGCGCGGCGAGGGGGGGGCGTTCCTGCTCGGCCGCGTGTCGCGGTTCCGATCGTTTGTCGTCTGGTGGTGTGGATGTGACGCGCTTGGCGCTTGGACTGCGCAGGGCGGGCGTGCCTGGCGATCCGGCCATCGCGCGCGCCGCCAGGCTCGGTCGCTCGTTTTTCGCGCGCAGGCAATGATGTGGAAGTTGATCTGGTTGCGAATGTACTGGTCGCGAACGGTTTCGAACACGTCGCTGACGCACGCGGCGCAAAGTAGACGCGTGGCAGGTTTTGAGCGTTTCTCCGCAGACGCCCAAGCGCGCTTTCGTGAGATCGCGGCGGGAGTTCCGCGGCCGCCGAGCGGGCCGCCTCCAGCGCCGCCCCGTGTGCAGAAACAACCGGCGCTCGCGCGCGGCGGCCCGGGCGCGCTCGCGCCGGGTGCCGCGTGCGACAGCGCGGCGAAGCGAGAGCTGGCGCGCGCTTACAGGGCCGTGCGCAGCGTGCAATTGTCACCCGTGCCCACGGGCGGCCCTCGCAAGTCCATCGCGAGCGGCGCTCGCGGGCCCCCGTCGCCAGTGGCCATGCAGGAAAGCCTGGCCCGCGCACGAGCTTTGGCAATCGTCGGCTCGGCGCCGCGTTCCTTCGGGTCCTGGAGGGCTGCGGTCCGGGCGTGGGTGGCTTTCGCGCAGCGTCGCCTCAACGAAGACGGCTGCAGCGCACTGCCGCCGTCGGCCGACGAGGCGTGCTTGTTCGCGCTCGAATTTCGCAACCCGCGCACCCTCGGCAATTGCGTGGCACAGATTAAGAAGGCATGCCAGTTGTTGGGCCGGGACGCGTCGGCCTTTTCGCATCCTTCGGTTAGGGGCGCCCGCAAGGCCATCGGGAAGCGGCGCCCCGTGAGGCGGCCGCTGAAGTGTTTCGTCCTGCTCTCGCACTTATCGGCTATGCTCGACTTTGTAAGTGCCGACAGCGCGATGTGCGCGCTCTTCTTGGTGTCCTGGGGGTTCGCTCTGCGCGTGCCCTCCGAGGCCCTCTTGATTGAGCGAGGCGACCCATCGGCATTTAAGGACTTCGCCTTCTCTGACGAAGACCTGCGAAGGCCAGTCGCAAGAGTCGTCATTTTCTTTTCGGGCGATTCTGCAACGTTGCATTTCTCGCGGCGTAAGCACCGCGACGGCCCGACGGTCGCGGTGCGGAATTGCTGGTGCAAACATTCGCGTGCGACTTGCATTGTGCACGCGGCGCGTAGTTTTTTCGAGGGCATTTGCGTCGGCTCGCCCGCGTTCCCGCATATGCGGCGAGTCGACGGCAGCGGCGTGTCTCAATCGCCGTGCCCGTGCAGCGCGCGATCAAGGCGGCGGCGCGGCGCGCCGGCGCACCAAGCGCGGCTTCTTTTACGAGCAAAGCGTTCCGCCGCGGGCACGCGGGGACTAGGCGGAGGTGCAACGGCCGCCTTTGTGAGATCCTCCGCGGTGCCGATTGGAGTTCCCGCGCTTTCAAAGAATACTTTGATATGCACCAGCACGAGGGCGATGCGACCGCCGAAGCAGTGGCCGCAGCCTCGTGCCCAAGCGCCGGCGCGGCGAGCAGACCAGGTTCTGCATCGGTGCCTGCGGGGTAAGTCGGCCAGGCTCACGATCGGCGCGCACTGCGACCTGCACCCGGGGTTCCATTGGGTCGCGGCAGGCCTGGCGCGCCCCGACCAGGCGAGCCTGGGCGCTTGCGGCGTTGGGTTCAACGCCCAGGCTGGCCTGGTCGGGGACTGTGCGCGTCACCGAAAGCACCCCCCACGCGGGGCGCTCGCGGGGCGGCAGCCCTGGCTCGGTCGCCGCACCCATCGTTGGGGCGTTGGCGCCCGAGGTCGGGTACACAAGGAAGGTGCGCCGAGATTTGTGGGGGGCGCGCGCCCGTAGGGTGCTGCGCGGGCACAAATCGCAGGTCGGCCGACGGGCCCTGCGGCGCCGCGGCGCGTGCGACGCGCGCCGCATGCAGCCCGACCGCAGCGCGCGCCGCCCGCAGTCGCGTCTTTGCGCTTCTGTGTTGTTTCGCGCGGGCCTGCCGCGGTCGCTCGCGCAGGCGCGCCGCGGGGATCGCGCGCTGGGCGGATCGCGGCGCGCCTTGGCGATGCTCGCTTCGCAGGTTGTCGATTATATTGGTTTGGGCACCGCGCTCGTGCGGCGCTCGCGCGGCGCGGGCCCGTCGACCGTTCTGCCCCGCCCACCCGCTCCTGGGTGCGCGGCTGCCTCGGTCGTTGGCGGCCCCTTGTCCGCCTCTCCCGCCCGCCCTTGGGGTTCAACGCCCAGGCTGGCCTGGTCGGGGACGGTGCGCGTCACCGAAAGCACCCCCCACGCGGGGCGCTCGCGGGGCGGCAGCCCTGGCTCGGTCGCCGCGCCCATCGTTGGGGCGTTGGCGCCCGAGGTCGGGTACACAAGGAAGGTGCGCCGAGATTTGTGCAGGAATCCTTTCTCGGCGCTCTGGAGTCCCGCTCTCGCTGGAGACTTGCTTGCAATTTGCCCAAGAATCGCGCTCTTGCGTTAGAGTTCCCCGCAACTTACTCAAGCGCCGCCGCTCCCGACACTCAGGCACCCAAGAGTCGCGCTCGCGCGTGAGACTCCCTCGCAGCTTACTTAGGAATCGGGATCTCGCTGCCCTTCGTGGCCCCGTTGCAACACTTCGTGGGCCCCTCGTTGCCCTTCGTGGCCCCGTTGCAGCCCTTCGTGGCCCCCTCGCTGCCCTTCGGGGCCCCGTCGCAACACTTCGTGGCCCCTTCCCTGCCCTTCGTGGGCCCGTTGCAGCCCTTCGAGGCCCCGTTGCAGCCCTTCGTGGCCCCGTTGCAGCCTTTCGTGGCCCCCTCGCTGCCCCCCGTGGCCCCGTTGCAGCCCTTCGTGGCTCCCTCGCTGCCCTTAGTGGCCCCGTTGCAGCCCTTCGTGGCCCCCTCGCTGCCCTTCGTGGCCCCGTTGCAGCCCTTCGTGGCCCCCTCGCTGCCCTCCGGGGCCCCGTTGCAACACTTCGTGGCCCCTTCCCTGCCCTTCGTGGGCCCGTTGCAGCCCTTCGTGGCCCTTTTGCTGCCCGTCGTGGCCAGGTTACAGCTCTTCGTGGCCCCTTCGCTGCTCTTCGTGGCCCCGTTACAGCCCTTCGTGGCCCCGTTGCAGCCTTTCGTGGCCCCCTTGCTGCCCTTCGTGGCCCCGTTGCAGCCCTTCGTGGCCCCCTCGGTGTCCTTCGTGGGCCCGTTGCAGGCCTTCGTGGGCCCTTCGCTGGCCTTCGTGGCCCCGTTGCAGCTTTTCGTGGCCCACTCGCTGCCTTTCGTGGCTTCATATATGTATGCCCTTCGTTGCCCCCGATCGTTCGCGCCCGTCGCGGCCCCATATGCATGGATTTCGTGGTCCCGCTTTCGCCCTTCGTGGCCCCCTCGCTGCCCTTCGTGGCGTCGTTGCTGCCGTTAGTGGCCCCGTCTTTGTCCTGTGCGGCCCAATATACGTACGCTCTTCGTGGCCCCCGTTCGTTCGCGCCCGTCGTGGCCCCATATGCATGCCTTTCGTGGCCCCGCCGTCGCCTTTTGTGGCCCCTCGCTGCCCTTCGTGGCCCCGTTGCTACCCTCAGTGGCACCGTCATTTCCCTGTGGCCCTGCATTATTTCCCGTTCGTGGCCCCCGTTCGTTTGCGCCCATCGTGGCCCCATACGCATGCCCTTCGTGGCCCCGCTGTCGCCCTTCGTGGCCCCCTTCCTGCCCTTCGTGGTCCCGCTGTCGCTGTCGATCTCGCTCTCGCTCTCGCTTTCGCTCGTGGTCGTCGTCGTCGTCGTTGTCGTCGTCGTCGTCGTCGTCGCGGTCGGTCCCCTGTCCGTCCCTCTGAGGGTCGGGTTGCCGCCGATCAGCGTTGCCGCTGGCCAGGCCGACGGTCCGCGGCCACCCCGCCGCTTGCCGGGGCCCGGCCTGCAGGGAAACAAGATATACTCCCCCGAAGGGGTACGATCGAAGACGAAGAGGGCGGGTATCGAGGGTTTGGGAAATACACGTTGAATGGCACTCGGGCAGATAAGAGTGAGCAGTCTTAAACTGATTGTTGTTGTTGTTGTTGTTGTGGTTGTTGTTGTTGTTGTAGTTGTTGTTGTTATTATTATTGGACATTATTACTTCTAAATAATAATTATTGTTGGGGCCCCTGGTGCACGACCCCCCCGCCGCGCCTAGGCCGCAGCCACATTTTCATCATTTTCGTGAGGAAGTCTCAGGCAAAACGGGTTGGTCCGGATCCGGTTGTTTTGTTACGGCCCGCTTTCCCTTGCAAAAAATAAGTTAAAGTGGACATTTCTTGTTCTAACATAACCAAACTTCAAGAATCCCTTGCAAAAAATAAGGTAAAGTGGACATTCGCGCGCGCAAGACGAAATCCTTCCAAAACCTTAGTTTTCGTAGCGATTTTAACATAAAAACATCAAAAAACCAATGGTTAAACAAACAAAAATTGTCGAAATTTCATCCCGCGCGCTCTTGCGGATTCGTAGGAAACCCAA